CAAATGACTGACCGGTCAATCCCGGGCATATCAGCAACACTCCAGGCAAATAATGATTTATACCTGGTCAACACCTGGACAATCTCAGTCCTTAGCTCTTCCTGAAGGTCAGCCCCAATTTTGACCTTCCTCTCAGGATTGGAGGCATCAATCTGGATCTCCTCCGTGTTTGCATCCGGCTCGATCCTAGCCTTCTCCTCACCCTTGTCTACCTGCTGGGAGACCAATTCAATTTGTTCGAACTGGCAGGTCATCTTCTTGACTGCTTCCAGGTAGCAGGACCGGGCGTTCTTTTGATCACCCCTTTCCTCCCCGATCCCATTGGGAGTGTAGAATTTCATGCACAAGTGTGCCATAAAAATGATTGCCCTGACCTGGTTGATCCCAGGTCTACCAAGAATGGCGTTATGTACACACTTGATATCAACCACAACAAATCTCATTTGCTTGGTTACTATTTTGTTACCCGACCCCAAGGTAACTGGTAAGGTGATCTGACCCTCCGCTTCTATGCTGGCTCCAGTGAAGCCTGACAATGGGGTTTGCAATGGCCTCAGCTTGGACCTGTCCAACTTCAATTTCTTGAAAGCATCCAAGTATAGAACATTGACACTGCTTCCTGTGTCAACCAGGACCCTGGCCACATCAGCTCCATTGATGTCCATTGTAATAACCAAAGGGTCATTATGATCTCCCCCCGTCCTGGGCAGATCCCTATCAGTGAAAGTGATAGGTTCCCTCCTTGCCTGCTTCCCATGCGACTCTAGGGAAACCACCGCCACGTGCAAACTCCTGGCCCAGTTCTTCCGCTGGGAGGCAGTATCCCCGCCTTCTGGGCCGCCGACAATCATCTGTATAAATTCTTTATCCAGATTGTTGTTATCCTTCCCGGATTTTCTCCTTCCCTGGTCTTTTCCTTGATGACGGGTCCAGGTGTTCGCTTTCGGGTCTTTCTTATTACCCGTCGCGTAACCTTCCCCAAGCTCTCCTTTCAAGGCTATCTCCTTGAGCACAGCCTTGACATTTCGGCAATCCGCCGTGTTGTGGGAGTCAGATTGGTGGTAGGTACACCACTTCTCCGTCCAAGGCCTCTTGGGTTGTTCTCCCTTCTTATCATCCCTTATTTGATGGACAGACCCGTCATACGCAGCCTTTAGTTTGGACCCTCCCATCTGGTCGTCCTTCTTTAGCTTGTCGGATTTCGGCTTTGTGTA